GACTAACGCGCTGGTGTGACTAACGCGAGTGCTGTGAGTCAAGACAACGCTGGCCCTGGCGGCTCCAGGAGGTGCCCAGGGCCTCCACCCCCAGAGGCCACATACCTCGTTCATTTTCACATCGTCTGGTCCTTGGGCATCTTTTGTTTGCTTAATATTCTCTACCATCTTTCTGATAAACGCATGACTGTTGTTTTCATTTTTAGCCATGAGTATTTCCAGAACAAACCAAAGACATCTGAAGGCAAGAGAAAGGAGACACACAGAAAAGGTGTAATTATGGGTACACTGTACCCACACGGGCAGGCCGTGCAGGTGTGACCTCAGGCCGGCCCTCGCAGGCCTGACCCTTTCCTCAGGGTCAGGGTGAGAAGGCACGCTGATAACGTCGCCAGCCCTGGTTTGGACAGGAATGAAGACTGCTTAAAGGACTGGGACAGAGGTCAGAAGAGGCCCTGTCACAGCAGACATCATGAGGGCGGATGGCCCATCTGGGGGCGAGTGGCTGTGGAGAGATTCACCCTCTGAGGTGTGAGGACACCGCAACCACCAACCCTCTGCAACCTTCAAGGAAAGCTGCGTGCCCTCACTCAGTTAGTTGAGAACCTTCAGCAGGAAGCTGGGAGGAAAAGTCCTTGATAACCACACAGGCTGTCACGGCTTCATCACAGAACGACGACTCGTGTTCAGGAGCCGTTCTAGAGTTAGTTCCTGAGTTCTATTCCGTCATGACTCCAAATCCAAGTCCCCGTGACCCTGCCAGTTCAAGGGTTGGGTGAGCGCAGACACAGGGAGGGCAGTGAGGAGCGACCCACGCGGAACACTCTGGTAGGGACGGACACCATTGTGTGTCCCGCTCACAGTCACATCCCCACCCAGCACCCTGCACAGGGAGACAGACCAGAGGTCTGGCTCGAGGATGTGAAACGTCAAAGTCCAGCACTTCTGCCCGGGACAGCGCCAGGCGTCGCGTGGCTCTAGTGTGACGCACTCCGGGAGTCCTGAGGGCTTCTTTTAGAACGGACCCGGCTGGCAGCAGGGTACTTCCCCATGGTATGAGGAGGGACCAGCTATCTGCCCTCACCCTCCCGAGGTGCTGCCAGTATTACCCCAGAAAACATGCTCTAAAGAAGAACCCATTTTCCTTAATAGGAAGCTGAAGACCCGAGCAGGTAACCCATCCTAGAAGAGGGCCGGGCGCTGAGGCGCGTTTCCCAACCAGCGGGGCTCGCCAGGCCTTCTCCACACAGCCACACGCCAGTCTGCCCACTGCACAGTCTCTGCAACCACCTCTCACGACAACCGCTGCCTGGCCCTGACAATGGCCACCCAGAGGAGTAGAGCAGTGTCCTGCCGAACGACTCAGCCGCAGTGAAGACACATTCGCTCTCCCGGCGAGGAAACGTGCTCGCCACCCAAACAAAGACAGAATAAGCTTGCGGCCCAGAGTGGCACGTGCTTAGAGGGCAGCAGGAAACCCCAGACGAGCATGGACGCTTCCCACGAACTGCTTCCAGAGAGAAATGGACGACAGGCAGAGGAACCACCACAGGTGTACTCCATTTAGGGGGCGTATGGAAGAAATGACGGGAAGACAGATGGGTGGGCGAGCACAGGCAAGAGCCAAGCTCCAAGATCTGAAGCACATTTACCTCCAGGCTGTTACAGCCTAGACCACCGCGGGCCCACTGCCTCGGACCCACCACCACCGCGGGCCCACCGCCACCACCACGAGGCCACCACCACGGGGCCACCACCGCAGGCCCACCACCACCGCGGGCCCACTGCCACCACCACGAGGCCACCACCACCACCACGGGGCCACCACCACCACGGGCTCCCCGTGACAACTGCCTTCAGAAACCAAGAAAGCAGGGCTGAGAAGCTCTTACTCTTTAACGTCTTTCAGCTGCTCAATATCCTGGACTTTGACGTAATCTGGGTCGTGGGCCAAAAGGTGAATTGTATACGGAACAACGTACTCTGGGAGGAGAGACAACAATTTCTCTGAAAAAGAACAGAATGGAGTCACATTTTTAATTGATTAGAAACCCGATCTCTACCTGCAGCCTCCCGCCCACCCTCTGGTACCTGGACACCAGCAGTCCCACCACACATGTTTCTGTTGTGTGTACCGTCAAGTTGGAACCAACTCATGGCTGACCCTTCAGCGATTTTCCAGAGGCTATAAAATGACCCTGGAGGCGGCTGCCCATCCTTCTCCACAGAGCAGCTGGGGAATCCGAACCGTGTGCCTGTGGCCACCAGACCGCCCTCCCTCCCTTCTACAGAACCAGGACAGAAAGAGACGGGGGTGCTCAGCGTGGACGTCCGATATACACAATACGGAAACGCCCACTGCCTAGAGCAAGCGCTGCTGTTTCAGGCAAGGGAATTCTGTATGTGGAAAAGCTGACCCAAAGGAGAGACTGCCAGCAGCCGGCTCCGCATCTACTGTCTCGTCGCCATGAGTGGCCCCAGGTGAAGACTCTGACCAGCTGTCAGGTCCAGTGAAACAGCTCCAGCCAGGGCAGTGCCCAACCCAGGAGGAAACACCAACGCTATTTCCAGCAGAAAGCAGACAAAAGGAATGGGCCTACAGAACTTTCTAGGGAACTTTAAATAACACAGAAATAGCTTCTCAGTTTAAAAGAAAATCTTTTCCTCCCTCAGAACTGTAGACTGAGATCAGACTGTTGCTTAAGAAGTCCATGGTAATTCCTACCTACTTCAATAACTCAGTGCAAAGAAGGCCAGGATTCTTATTACGAGTAATTTCTTTTCTATTTTCAAAACAAAATTTTTTTACAGGTGTTCAACCTAGAAAAATAATAATAATGTGCGCATCAATAAAAAAAAACCCCAAACTAATGGCCTGTGAATTGATTCCAAGTGCTACCACTCCTACAGGACAGAGCTGACCTCTCCCAGGGTCCAGGGCTGTGAGGAAGCACACGGCCACACCTTTCCTGGAGGGGGCAGATGGTGGCTGAGTGGTAAGGACCTTGTCAGCTTATCACACCACCTGCTAAAGGCTGAAATCAACTCAGCCACTCGGGGGTATCGCCAAACCCAATGCGTGCGATACAGCAGAAGTGCCCCTCAGGGCTGCCCCCTGTGACCTCTGCAGAAAGTGGCCAGCTCACTGTCATGAAGCCTCTACGTGGGCTTGAACCAGAAACCTTTTAGCTCGCCCTATCAACCTGAAGGCATGTGGTTCAAATCCGCCAACAGCTCTGTGGGAGAAGGCTGGGCAGTCTCCTCCCAGGCAGTTAACTGCCTCTGAACACCCACTGCAGGGTCAGTTCTGACACAACGGTACATAACAATTAGGCTGGAGCCGCTGACCTTTCCTTGACCAGCCCAATGCTCAATACACTGTGCCACCCCGATTCTAGGTCTAGACCAAGGTGACAGCAGAACCGAGAGGTAGCCACCGGGGCCGAGGCTCCAGGGAACGCCAGAGCCAGACCAAGACCCGGGTGTCCGCTGAGGGTCCCCACCTCACCACGTGAGCAAAAAGACACAGTACATGTCTGCAGCCAAGAGGGTCTGGGAGGTGGACTGGGGCACAGGGGTGTGGGCCTCCAGAGCCCGACCAAAACACAATGAGGAGAAGGGCAAGGAGGACGTGTAGCCCCAGGGTGTGCACGCAGTTGCTAACTGGCAGGCCAGTGGTTCAAACCCACCCGAGGCTGCATGGCACAGTGGTGGGTCTGCTCCTCAGAGATCAGAGTGTGGAAACCAGGTGGGGCGTCCTGCTCTATTCCACGGGGTGGCGTGGAAGGGGAAGCACTTGAGGGTAGTGGGTTTGATGACAGACCTGAACGGCCGAGTAGATTTCAACAATAAGCACTTGGCTATGCCCACTCCGTCCACATTCACATGAAGGCTGACTGTGAGACAGGGAGACAAGGCCAGTGTCGGCCGCCAGGGACAGAAAGGCCAGGCCTCCCTCAAATCCAGGGCAGGGCTCAGGGCAGGGTCCCTGGGAAGCCTAGACTACAGACCTATTCTCCTTTCTTAGGTAATAACAAGAAGGTGTTTCAAAGACCCCAGAGAAATCCATTAAAAAAAAAATATAGTACTTTCCAGAACAAAATCAACAAGAGGGAAAGATACCCTGAAAGGGCTATCAGCTCTGGGGAGGAAGTCAGTCCACAGCGGCCCCTGTGCCTTCTGCACTCCACAGTGTCCCTGTGGGAGACAGGGCTCCACTGCACTGGCTATCTACCCAATTACACACGGGGCAGGCTGGCATTCAAAAGCCCACACACTAATATTGTTTTTGAAATGAAAAGCTGCGACTGTCAAACCAAGCCCACAGCTGTGATTCGGGGAACCACATCCACAGCAGCCCCTCTTCGGGCCTGGGGGCCTGTAAATCAGCACTGGAGGAGAAAGTCCATCCTTGTGCACAGAGGCAGGTGGATTCAAACTGCCAACCTTCTGGTTTGCAGGCAAACATGTCAGACAACCACCACCAGGGCTCACACCCACTGGGTGCCCCAGGAGGTAAGGAGTTGTGCCGCCAACCCAAAGGCAGGTAGTTCAAATTCATCAGCTGCTTCACGGGAGAGAGAGGATTCCCCTCCTCCCGTGCGGATGACAGCCTCCATAAAGCCACCCAGGTCAGCGATGAGTCCGCGCAGACCCGAGCGGGCATTACAACAAGAGAATAAGCTATCCTAGCGGAGAGTGGAGGGGAGCCAGTGGGCGGGCAGCGCCCGAGGATGGAAGGTCTGCCACGTGGCTCCCGCGGCATCTCCGTCGCTGGCACTCACCACTGACGGCCGCGTGCTGCTTCAGGTACTCCCGCCTGACGTTGATGTTTTTCACCAGACACTGCCTGGCATGGGCCCTCCGCTCCTTCACAGGGTCCTTGGCACACAGCGCACAGATGGCCATGTACTCCAGCGGCAGCCGCAAGCGGGACAGGCCTTTGTGAAGCTTCTGGGCAAACACTTGTCGGACTTGGTAGCATTCGTCCTGGAAAGAGACAAGGCATCCCGTGTTGAGTCCATGATGCTTCTGCCCACAAGGAAGGATTCAGGCACGCGTTGAGTGCGTGCGTGCGTGTGGTGTGTGTATGTGTGTGTAGAAAGAGACAGATAGATATAGATCCCCTCTCATTAATTAACTGCCTCTAAAAACCTAATTAGAGGGTCAGCTATGGGCTGGTACACAGCAACAATAAACAAACAAGACGCTAAAGGAAAAAGAAAAGCATCAACATAATCATTTCATACCTGTCACTCTCGACCCACAGCCCCTGGAGGACAAGTGTCTACGGCCTGAGCACGACAGGAGGAAACGCTGCACCGCTCTCTCTCATACTGGCTGGGGGGTTCAAACCACTGACCTCATGGAGTGCAGCCACCAGGGCTCCTTAGTGGAGAACCCAAAACCCCACTTTCTGTAGCATCACTTAAAAAATTGTTCATATGAAAGACGGAGCCCTGAAGGTTCAGAACAGTGCACAGGCTATGGACACCGCGTGCCTGCTGCCTCCTCCCAGGCCCATCTCCCACCAGGCTGCCCCTCCTCTCTGCCACCAAATCCTGCCCAACCTTCCGGGCAACCCTCCCTCTCCCCACTAGCCGGCCACGCCGCAACACTGCACAACAGTACACACACACTCGTGCACCCTCGGTCGGGCCTTGGAGTCCAGCCCAACATGGCATTCAGGCGGGTATATTAAAACACTTAAGTGTCTTAGCCTTCAGAGTTGACAGCTCAAGACAAGCAGCAAAGCCAGACCCATCTCAATGTCCCCAAGGCCCAGCCCACCAGCACACTGCCCAGCAGGCTGTCTTTCTGCACCAGAGGAGAAAGCTCAGATTCTACTGAAAAAACTGTGTCAGGAGGAGGATAGGCAACACCAGGCGATGGAGAAAACACTGAAATTGTCAACAATTTCATTTTACTTGGATCCTTGGTACCAACATTCAGGAGATCAGGAGACATACTGCACTAGGAAAGTTTGCTTTCGGGGACCTCTTCAAGTCACTGAGGAGCAATGATATCAGTTTGAAGACTAAGGTGTGCCTGATTCAGACAATGGCCTTTTCAATCACTTACTATGCATCTGAGGGCTGGCCAATGACTAAGGATAACTTCAGAATTGATGACTTTGAACTGTGGTGTTGGAGAAGAGCACTGAATATTCCACGGACTGACAAAAAATCAAACAGATACGTCTTGGAAAAAGGGTAGCCAGAGTGCTCCTCAGAGGCACAGGGAGTGAAGCTGACTCACATCCTTTGTGCACGTTGCTAGGAAGGGGAAACCATGCTTCCAAAGGTGGAGGGTCAGGGAAAGACCCTCAACGAGCTGGACTAACACACTGACAGCAGCAATGGACTCAAGTATGTTAGAGACGATGAAGACGGCACAGGACAGGACAGAGCTCAGACCTGATGTTCAGAGGGTCGTTACGAATCAAAGCTGACTCAATAAAAAATAAGAAAAACCATTTCAGATACATCACCACCCAACACTACATTTTGTTTCCCTTTTCATTAACAGCTCAGGATCCACCAACAGTAAGCAAATGATTCACAGTCAGCCTGTGAATGAACAGTTTCTAAAGATGACTGCAGTGACGCTGGAGAAGGAACAAATTACAACAAGGCGACTGAAAGACAGGTCAGCAACCGGACAAGGGGGAACAGCAGTAAAGGCAGCCAAGTCTGAGCAGATGGAAAAGAGAGCTTTCCAAGACTGAGTCTTCAAAGGTTTGTGCAAAAATGAGAGCCCCTCAGATTGTGCTGTAACATTCAAATGTGGGGGAGAAATCTGGTAAAAATACAACTTTTCCAGGAAAAACAAAACAACACCACCCTCCTCAAAACACAACTGACTGAATATAAGAGAGAAAAAAAACCAAACAAAAACCATCATGCTGTTAATACAACAGTTTCCTTCACCCAAAATACAATTGCAATCAAAGCTTTATTCACTACTGACTATAAACTTAATGTTGCTCTACATCTTAAGTAAACAGACTTTAGCCTTTTTCTAGTAGAAATCGTCTTCAGAACGTCTAGTTTTTTGTGTAGAAGGCATCCCCTTTGAGGGTCCCTTTCTATTAACCACTCTTATCTGGCTTCTTCTCAGAGGTCATTAGCTTCTGGAGGGCAGGACCAAAACCTTGTCATCTATGTCTGGAACTTTCATCAATAACCTGCATTATGCAGATGGCACAACCTTGCTTGCTGAAAGTGAGGAGGACTTGAAGCACTTGCTGCAGAAGACTGAGGAATGCAGCCTTCAGTATGGATTGCATCTCAGCAGCAATAAAACAAAGATACTTGCCACTGGACAAATAGGCAGCATCATGATGGACAGAGAGGAGACTGGGACTGTCAACAGCTTCATCTTGCTTGGATCCACAATTAACACCCTGGGTACGAGCAGTCAGAAAATGAGACACATTGCACTGGGAAAATCTACAGTTAGGGAGCTTTCCAAATTATTGAGGAGTAGTGATGTCAGTTTGGGGACTAAGGTGCATTTGATTCAGGCCGTAGTCCTTCTGGTCACTTGCTATGCATCTGAGAACTGGTCAATGAATAACGATGACAGGAAAAGAATTGACACCTTTGAGCTGTGGTGCTGAAGAGCACTGACCATCCCATGGACGGCCAGGAGAACAGACAGACATGTCTTGGAGATGGTGCAGCCGGAGTGCTCTTCGGAGGCAAGAATGGTGAGGCTTCACCTTACATACTTCGGGCAGGTTGCTAGGAGGAGCTATTCCTTGGCGAGGGAATGATGTTCAGAAGGGTGATCTACACATGCCCCACTTGAGGTGGCTGCATAGTCATGTGATGCAAGTCAAAGCCAGTGGCGAGGACGGTCATTCTAAACAACTGACCATGGTGCCACACACGCGCACTGCCTCGGGACAGAGGACTAAACCAAGGAAGGGGTCCCTGCACGCCTCAGAGCCATCATGGCTTCAGGTCCAGACCAGCTCAATGAAATGAGCCACACACTGTGACCAGCACCACAGTCATGACTGCTGTGAATGGAGTGACACTCTGTGACCAGCTCCACGAAGCCATCACTGCCCTAGAGCGAGCCGCACACACTCTGCCTTCCTCACGCATATAGCAGCAGTTCTGCTGACATTACGGTGTACAACAGCATAGGAAACAGTGTGGTCCCTGAGAAGGATCTAGACATGGCCAAGCCACAGAGCCCCGCTGCCGGGACAGGGTGCCGTCCTGTACCTGCACGGCCAGGCCAGCCCAGCCATGGTGGAAGGAGGAGCCCTTGGCATGGCAACGGATGGGCATGGAGGGAAGCGCAGCTGCCAAGGGCCTGAAGGAGCAGGGGTCCTGGGCGGCCCCACTCAGGTGTGGCTCTTGGAAAGGCCTGGTCGGACGTGCCGGACGGTGGCACCCACTCCTCCCGGGCTGAGGGAGGCGGGAGGCCCCTGTCAGCACCCTGTCCTGCGGCGGGGCTCTGCATCTCGGCCACATCTAGGTCCTTCTCCTCTTGGTCAGGTGCCACCGGGTCAGCTCCGACACAGCGACTCTGCGTCCAGCAGCCTGAGGCCCTGCCGTGCATCATCCGCCATCTCTGCTCTGTGTGCCAGCTGCCGCTGCTGCCGTGTCCCCTGCCCTCGCGGTGAGGCCTCCTCTTCCTCCCAACCCAGCTTCACAAAGCACGGCGCCCTCCTCCAACGACCAGCCCCTTCGGCGTCATTTATATACAAGGTGAGACGCCAAAGAGAATGGGGAAATGCACAAGGTGGCCACAGCAAGTCCCCCCAGAAAACAAACCCAACTGCCAGGTGAGCCTCAAAATGCAGCCAGAGAGCGGATCAGCCCGTCACTGAGCAGAGCTGGTGGACGGCACAGATCAAACTCAGCCACCGGATAATGGTCAGGGGTGAAGGAAGCAAGCAAATGACGGGGACTGACGAGCAGAGCAAGGGGCAAGTGTCGGAGGCAGACCACTCTGCGGTTCGGGGCTGGATGTGCCCTGAAGGGATCACAGGCACAAGAGACAGCTTCAGGACGGTGAAGCCCGGTGTCCGGAAGCCATGAAGATGACACCATGATGCCTGCACAATTAACACGTGTCCCACACTGCAGTCCTTGAACCATCCAAACACAGATGCGATCTCCACGCATCCTGGGAAGCCGGACACTGGGCTGTCACAGAGACTGGGCTAGAAAGTGTACAGTGTAGTCCAGGAAATGAACACATCGCCCACACACACGGTGGAGGCCTCACAGCGACCCACACACAGCCAGCTTCTCTTCGTACGCGTCTCCATTCTCTCTAAAGTGTCTCCTCCAGCAACAGTACCAATACCCTACGTGGCGTTTGGCCACGGTCATGGATCTGGAATTCCTGGAATCTGGGATCAAACTGGCATCACTGAATTATGATTTAAGAAATAAAAGTAATTGCAGTATTTTGAAACCTTCCCTGAAATTAGAACGTCCTACTCACGTACAGACTCTGCAAGCCCACTGGAGGGTCGGCGGTGAGCTGGTTCCAACTCAACTGTACAGAACAACACTCATTATAAAAAACTCACCTCCCTCCCTTTCTGTTTTAGGAACTAAAGTCGTCGTTTCTTTTTCTTTTTGCCATGGAGCTCCTGGTGGATTTGAACTGCTGTTTCCTTAAATGCTTCACCACTGAACCACCAGGGCTCCTCAATATGGTCAAAAGTCCCAGATCCCTCGCCTTCAGGTGGACCCTGACCCCCGTGACCCTGCAGGACGCAGCAGCACTGCCCGAGCGGGCTCCGAAGGCGGTAGGTCCACCACACACACTGTCTCCACTTTCTCCCACAGAGCAGCCAGTGTGTTCAACGCAGCAGCCTTCCGGTTGTCAGCTGAACGCCTGCGTTAGAGCACCTCAGGGACTGCAAACACCAGCTTAGGAACCCGCTGCGTCAGTCAGAACTCTGCCATGCTTCTCACGCACATTCTGGGGGAGGGCACACAAACTCGCGTCTCCCTCTCCCTCCCCGCAGAGCGGAGCTCCAGCACACATGTGTCCTTACGTTGATGGCCAGCGCGCAGAGCTGGTACTGCTCCAGTGTGATGATCTCGTGGTAACAGGGCTCCTGGGCCAACTTCACGATGGCGCTGCCAGCAGCCAGCCTCAGCCGGGACATGTCTGGCTTACTGAAAAAGAAGGGGAAACGGAGGTGAGTATTTCCACACGGCCAGCTCCCGGCACAGAAGACCACGTGCAGGATAGCGGCTCTAGGAGATTCCCAGCTCAGGAACTGGGTCCAAACAGGGTTCATCTTCCTGTGTGGCGCTGAGCTGACCCCACCTGCTTCTCTCTCATTTTACGTCCTGTAAGATAACTGCCTTTTCATGTAATCAGGTCAGTGATGAAATGAGCGGTGTTCCATGCCAACCTAGTCACCTTACAACACACTGGCTTACCAGACCAGAGCACGGACCAGGACTGGAGGGGCAATCAGGACTATCGGCCATAGCATATCATTACACACACAAACTGCGGGAGACACAGCTTAACTCAGGATTCCCCCTGGCAAACACTCTTTAAAATGACAGCTACACGTCTTCTGTTCTCTCAAACAAGTCTCTTTGACTCTCTTCGCCTAACCTTCTGAAATAGCTCAGTCTCTTCTACTGTTCATCACGTGAGTGAATGTTTACCTGGCTCTCTCAATCACAATCCTGCATTGTGCTCTGGCATCTGAAATTCCAATGCCCGCGATCCAGTCGTCCTGCCCCACCTCCTCTCCCGGGCTCTCACTTCCAGTAAGTCCCATTCTACCCGGTATCTCCTGCCTTCAGAGCTGCACCTGTGGCCGAAGGTGCTCTGTTCCCTTTCTACAGCTGCTTGTTATAAGGGGGGTGATCCTAGTCACCTCACAGGCCTGTCGGCTGTTTCACTCAAAGCTGAGCCAAAACTAGTCACTGAGGTTGAAGCTTTGACGGGGACTAAGGACAGAGTTCAAGCTTCTCAAGGTGGAGCACTTTCAACTAACCACAGAAAACAAGGAGGCTTTCAGTCCTCAGAAACGCTTGTATTTCCAAGAATTGGACATCAGGAAAGGAATAAATGAGTATTATCCAGAAAAGAAGATTGACCCTGTACAGAAGACAGCACCTCCCCTGGTCTTCTATCAACATCTGCTTGAAACCAAGCGAGGGTAGCGATTACCCTCAATGGCTAGCCTCCTGCCAGGGACCTTTCCTCGTTCACTCATTAACGTCTCACTAACTCATTACATAAGTCTCAGCGTAGAGTTACTCCTGTTACTACGTGAGCGAACAGACACTGAGAAGCACTGCGAGGGGCGCAAGGCGGACCAGCAGAGCGGCCAAAGCTCCCATCTCCAACTCCACATTTTCAATGACTATGAACAAATCAATGAAAAAAACTGCGTGCTACATCATTCACATCAAGAACGTCACATTCTTAATTTGCATATAAGAGTATACAGGTAATAAAGGCACTCCCCGCACTCCTCTTTTGCTTTTCGACGTGTAACATCAACTACTGATCAAATGCACTAACATTTGCACAATTAAATATTCAGATACAAAACCAAAGCAAGCCATGGAGTCTTCTGGGAAGCACAGTGTCTCCTCTTCCTCCTGAGGAAGGCTGGAAGGTGTGGAGTGCCGACTTTTCAGGTTCGCAGCCCTCTCCCTGCGCTACACCACAAGGGCTCCTTGAGCACTAGGAGAAGCCAGCACCCACCGCCCTGTGCGGGCGGCTCCCCGGGACGGCAGCTTCCTCCACAGACACGGACTGCTGTTCTCAGAGAACTGTACAGACGTCTATTCCCGAGAAAAGCCACCCCTCCCAGCGAGCCCGCCTGCTGCGGTCGGGCGGCAGCACCTGATCTTGCCCTGCTCCGTCAGGTCCCCGTCACTGTGCAGGATTGTGGTCAGCAACCTGAGCGTGGACGTGCCCGATTTGCTGTGGTTGTTCTTCATCCCAAGCAGCCACCGGACCATCATCTTGATAGCCTGGATCTAGGTGCAGACAAGGTGACAGACAGACACTGAAGAAAAACTCCCTCACACACTCCAAGCAAACCAACACATGTCTTATGTCTTCCACAGATACCCACGGGGGGAGGAGGGGTTATTCATATAGATAAGACAGAGGCAGGTAAGCAGGTAGCAAGCTCCACAGAGATGGAGACAGATGACAGACAGGTGGACAGACAAGGAGAGGACAGAGCCCACAGAACAAGGAGAAGGAGGAGACGCACACCAGGGGCAGGCAGACAGGTGCTGCAGGTGACTGGATAGACAGGTGGACAGACAAGGACAGGACAGAGCCCACAGAACAAGGAGAAGGAGGAGACGCACACCAGGGGCAGGCAGACAGGTGCTGCAGGTGACTGGATAGACAGGTGGACAGACAAGGAGAGGACAGAGCCCACAGAACAAGGAGAAGGAGGAGACGCACACCAGGGGCAGGCAGACAGGTGCTGCAGGTGGGCCAGCAGACAGAGCTAGAAGAGATCTGACTGAAGCCTGGTCTCCTCACTATGTGTCCAGCATTCCATCCATTGGAACGGAGTGACACAGGGACGAGGAAGTTCTGCTCCCGACCACAAGAGATGCTGCCATCTCTGGTTCCTGAGAGGGTGACACCTCACGCTGGTCCTGTGCCACAGTTACAGAGCACAGAGGCACGTCTGTCTGAAGTGCCCTGAGGGAGGAAGCTGGGCTCCGAGGCTCGTGAAGATTATCCTGCATGAGACTGAGCCTCGCAGCACCACCTGTCACCGACGGTCACACCACAAATGTGGCATCAATGCAGGTGCCCGCCTACTACGGCAGCACAAATGAGAAACCAGCAAATCAGAGAAAATGCACTACCTCAGCTCCCCCCACTAACTAGACATGTGAGAAACCACGGTCAGTGCTCCCTCGGCTACAACAGGGAAACGCTGAGAAAGGCTCCCCGTCAATGCCCCCTCCACTACAAGGCGGAGACCAGGGATGCCGAGAAAACGCACTGACACAGAAGGTCCACAGCCCGTGATGCGTCAGGGTTCCCAAGGACGGCACGAAAATCGTGCTTGCGCCTTTTCTGAAAGGAGACTGCCCCATGAGTCACCAAGAACAGGCGGCCACCTGACCATTCTTCAAATGAGAAGCAAGGGCTGCTGTCCCGAGTACATGCTTCTCACAGCACAGAGCCTAACGTGGTGCCACGAACACAGCAGACACGTGACGACAGACGTGAACTGTGACACACAGCGCTCCTCAGGAGCCCTGCTGACACCGGGCTTCCGGCACACAGCAGCCAGAAAGAAGGGGCTGCAGCCAAGAGCAAGCTGTGGTCAGTGCGCTTCTAAGCAGATTGACAGCCATGGAGAGTGCACAGGACAGCACGCTCTGTGTCAGAGGACCACTGGAGTCACGGCAACGGGACAGTGGTGCTCGGTGGGTCGTAAGACTCTCTGAAACTCAAAGCAACGGCTGCCATCAAGCTGCTCCCAGCTGCGGCCAGCCTGTGTGCGTCGGGGAACTGCGGCCAAGGGCCTTCTACAGCTGTAAGCAGATGAAGGCAGACTGCCAGGCCTCTCCTCGGCAGCACAGACTCAAGCTGCCAGCCTTTCAGTCAGGAGTACAGCACACACAACAGTGCCCTGGGGATCACAAGACCACATCACACATCAAAACCACCAGGGCCTGGTGTTACTCACTTTGACCATTGTCTCAGGGGAAACTTCTTCATCAGGAACCCAAAGTTTAGTCGTCTTTTTACCTGGAAGCTGAAGAAAATGAAGGACTTCAATGCATGAGTGTCAGGAACCCTGATGTCAACAGAAGGGACGGGGAGAGTGTGCTTCGGGTCAGGCGTCAGGACATGACAGGAGGCGGAGAGAAGTCTAACACTCCCGAGATACCAACAGGTCCCCTCCTGCCCAGGTGCCGCGCTCCTGCCCAGCTGACCTCAGCGACCTTTGGGGGGAACCCAGGACAGACAAATTGGCTCTCACCAAACCCAGTCAACTCTTTTTTAAACATTCACTATGTTGGAGAATTCCACAGACTGACAAGATCAACTCCAAGTGGGCTTTCTCCATTTTATGAAGCAGCCCTGGGAGGGGAGGCACAGCCAGGCACATGATCTGTGGTTCAAAGCCACCAGCTGCTCAAGAGAGAGGAAGGAGGGTCCTCCCAGGCACGCCAGCCTCAGAAACCCAGGGGAGAGGCATCCTGAGTCAGCACTGACTTGATGGAAGGAAACAGTCTTAATTTCTTTTATTAAGATATAGCAGTCTACACCTAGCAAAGGATGAATTTGCTTTAGACAAACATCCTAAAATAAAAATGGGTAAAAGGCACTTCAGAAAGGAGGCAACATCAGAAGTGATGAGACCCTGGAACTCTGTGCATGGCCAGGGAACAGCAGACAGCACTGGAAAGATGTATTATCTCCTTTCTTCTGCTATAGGAGAAAAACCAATCAGCTCATACGCACAGCCACATACAGCTTCTCCTGAACCGCACCATCCACGCCACCTCACTCACGGCCACATAGGGGGTCAGCTGAGGCTGAAGTTCTGAGGCTGCAAACGGTACAGGAGACTGCCCAGCCTTCTCCCTCAGACCTGCTGGTGGACTCAAACTTCCAGAAAAGCACAGCCTTGGGGTGAGGAGTGCAGCTCCCTACAGACATGCCAGCCGGGAACGCTGACAGCATGCGTGCTGCACATGCAAGTTTTAACAACTATTTAGAAAAAGAATTGGGCAAACCCGGAAAGAATCAACAGGAATTCTTGCTAAGGTGTGTGGGAGGCCTTAAGAACAACGTGCACAACACACAGCAAAGAGGAAAGAACTGGACCGTCCATCCCGTCACCCTCTGAGAGCTGACCCCAGTGGGTCTGTCCCACAGCGGGCTCGCAGAGCCCTGGACCAGGGGAAGGCAAGCTGAGAGTCACGTGACATCTGTCACGAACACAAAGCCGTGGCCTCCCTCCGTCTGACGCCCTCAAGAAAGCATTTATGTGTAACTGGCTTTTGCATAACGACCTACTCCGAGACTCACTCACACAGGTCACTTTGAAGGGAGGCGCAGAAGCATGCGCATCTCTGAGAGCAAGAAGCAGTGAGCTGCATGTTCAAGAGACGGCAAAGAACCTGGCAGAGACCGAGAAGCCAGGCCGAGCCCTGCACTCACCCACCAACAGTCCCGAGCACCAGTCAGCTCAGCGGCCACCTGCCAGGGTGCCTTAAGTCAATGGACACTGTTAACTTGATTATTAGGGAGCTCTGGTGGCCTGGTGGCAAGAAGCTGCGCTGCAATCCTGAAGGTGAGCGGTTCGAGACCACCAGCTGCTCTGCAGAAGGCTGAGCAGTCTCCTCCTCCCGTGTGATTAACTGCCTCTGAAACACTGCTGGAGGGTCAGCTATGGGTCAGTTCCAGCTCAGTGGGACAACATCATCACCACCACCATCACCATCATCACCATCTTGATCATTATGCCCATAACCAGTGAGTTTTAAAGTCTTCACACTTGGTCATGTGCAGGTGAACCCAGTGGCTAAGAGGCCCACAGGACGGCACAGCTACACAAACACAAGACAAAGCAAGGCCTCCAGTGCCGTGTTCTCCCAAGGCTTTACCGCTCCACGCTGCAGACACGGGCGTGGGGACACTGAGGACAGCCACACCAGGACCTGGCCTGGGGGTCGTGCCACTGTCTTCAAATAGACGTCATCATGAAAATGAAACCTGGTCAAGTTCAAGCACAAATGGAACGAGCACTGTCTTCAGGCCCGAGGCCTTCCAAGCATTGCAATGCTGGTGCACCAGGACCCTGAAGGCGGTTGTGGCTCACGGGGACCCTGCTGGACAGAGGTGACAGGCCCCAAAGGTTTTCCAAGGCTGCATCCGTTACAGACACAGACTGCAGTGGGCTCCGAGCATTAGCGCTCTGCTGGCTTCCCAGGGCTTAGCCCACTGTGCCCCGGGCACTCTCTCCCCCAAATGTGGGGGGACAACTACCATCAGGACAGCTGTACGTCAGCTGCCTCGTAGGTCCCCAAAAGCAGATGTCAACACAGACTTTAAACCCTGACAAGCTGCAGCCCAAGAGGAGACAAGTGGTTAACAGACCACCCACGGCTCAAATGGCCCAAGACCCCCACACCAGCGCTGCCTGCGTTCTGACGGTCCACCACCACCCACATGAAGGCAGCCGGTGGTGGCGGCACCGAGACCTGCAGACAAAAGGCAGAGGAAGGACCCAGAAGAGGGACAAGAGTTACCCGGTCGCTCATGAGAAGGTCCTTGACAATGAAGGTTGCCACGAGGGACTTGAGGGGGGCAGCAAACTGGTCGGGTGCCAGCAGGGCGATGTGGCCGATGGTCACTAGCGGCGTGATGAGGTGCTCCAGGTTGCTTGGGTCCAGGCTCTTGTGCAGCGGCTGACAGGAGGAGGGAACAAGACAGCGCAGTGAGCGGGCACTCAGCTTACATGCAAACGCCACGTGTGGTGGCACACAGGGTGAACCACAGCCACGCACGCTTCACTGAGTGAGGTACTCGGCCTTTTCTAAGTCAGCTATAAACCCACAAGGTCTGATGTTTACAGTCTGGCCCACGTCCTGCTTCAGCTGCAGGTAATCAAATGCTCCAGCTCGTGGAGTAAACTCACAGCGACCCTGTGGGAGAGGGACGCACGCCGGGAGGGACTCCAACGCTTCCGCGTTCATGGATGTGGCTTTGGCCCCGCTTCCTCTCCTTAAGGGGTGGGGGGGATTCAATCCCTCTTCCCACCATGCAACCAGGGCCATTCAGGCCCAACCCAGCAGCCTGGGTTCTAGGCCAATCCAGAGGCTGCCAGGACGGGGCACCCACTGCTCTCCTTCAGAGGTGCAAGCAGGGCTGAGCATCTGTCGTCCTCTGTGGCTGTGCCGTGGACTGAGCCCTGGTGGGACACCCTGAGGAGGCAAGTCTCTGTCCTCCTGAACAGGGGTCATCCTCACAGGACCCTGACTCAGCAGCTGGCTCAACGCCAAGGGCGCAGAGTGAGGCCTTCGAGGAAAAGCACCAGACAGAGAGCAGCTGTGGCCCTCTGCTGAGGACCAGGTCACCCAACCCCCAACCACGTTCGAGAAATAAGAAAACCCTCTTCTGCTGTCTGATCACTGGAGTATTTTTTTTTAATGGATGTGAATATCAGAGCTAACTATTTTTATTACTCCGATGAGGAAATTGTAATACGACTTTGATTATTCTGACAGGAAATCATTGCTGTGCGCTTTATGGTGACAGAAGCAGGAAGACGCTTTGTGCACACACAGAATCAATGCACAGTCACAGGGGAGCCAAAACGTACAATTCAATCCCCATGAAGAGATCAGGACCCTGCCCCATCCTGTGCCACCCTCAGCCTCTCCGCCACGCTAGGGGCCACTGTCACAGCCACTTATCAATCTAGCTTGTCTTTCCCTCCTTTACACACCCTCTACTTTTCTGAACCTGATTTCCTTCTCCAAGAACCGGCCTTTCCTAACAACATGTCCAAAGCACATAAGACAAAGTGACCCCGTCCTTTCTGCAGGGTACATCCTGGCTGCACTCTCTCCAAGATACAGCTGTTCATTTTCTTGGCAGTCCACAGGATATTCAGGGCTCTTCTGCAGCACCACAACGCAAAGGCATTGACGCGGCCTCTGTTGTCTTTGTTCACTGGCCAGTCTCTGATACAAAGCAAGCAACCGCAAAGGCCACAGCTTGGATCAAGTGCATCTAGTCTTTAACATGTTCACACTTCAGCACTTTGAGAGGGTCCTGACTGTAGACTTTCCCGATGCAAAGTGTCTTTTGATTTTCTGACTGCCGTTACCAAGGCTGTTAGTTGTGGCTCTGAGTAAGATGAAATTATGGACAATTTCTATCTTTTGTCTATTAAAACCTGCACTGGGAAATAATAACTCTGGGGCCAACCTTCGCTGCTGAGCGACACTGTAGCATGTAGTGCTGAGGTATTTACTGACCTCACTGAGAATGCCTAAATACATCTTACTGTTGTTGTTAGGTGCTGCTGATCAGAATATGACTTAGAGCGACTCTATGACAGCACATCTGAACCCTGGCCTGACCATCCACCCAATCTCTGCCACAGCGGAGCCTCTTGCTGAGATCACTGTGTCCATCCACCTGCTTCAGTCTTCCTCCTGCGGACCGTCTAAGGCCTTCTCCAAAGACTAGCCTCTCCCCACCATATAGCCAAAGTATGGGAAGATATTATAAATAATAGATCAAAGTCTAATGGGAACAAGACAGGGTGGAGAGAAAAGTTTTGGTTCTTTATTCCTGATGGTAAAACAAGTGACTATATTATCTAGTGGAAAGTATAATGCTGTATTTTAATTAAAATTCCAAATTCGGCACAGTATTCACCGAGAATTCTATGCCTGAAAAACAAAACGAAATGGGCCTCTTGCAACAGCTCAGGGAGAGATGGAGTCTCACCCAACCAGAAACAGACAGTGGGTCTAGATCTTGTTATTCTTCTCCTTGACCATTTCTAGATCCTCCTCCCACTGATGCCTGGTGCCTGTTTCTACCAGATTTCATCAAAAAATCCACTAATACTATAGTGGATCTGACTGTTTTCCACAACTAGGTGTGAAGATTATCTATGAAATGTCAAAACAGAGGACCAGAGCCCATATGAATGGACATCCCAGAAAGGCCAGAAGGCCATGAAGCACCTGCTGAGAAGCTGCCGCCTCCTCTCTACCCAGGTGCTGCACCTTGGGGTCCTCGCCACAATGACACCAGTGACACAGTGTCAGGACGAGCACGAAAGGGCTCAATGCGTGCAGGTTAGGGGCAGTCTCTTCCCTCATCATCACCGTGCCTGTCTGGGCATCAAGTCACCCGGGACTCACAGTAACCCCAGAACCACACGGACCTGACCTCGCCCCATCCTGCGCCACGCTGACCCGTCTGCCTTCTCAAGCCCATGGTGGTGGTCACCGAGGGTCTTCTCTTGAGCTTTTCTTTTCTTTTGGTCCCTCCTGACAACATGCTCGGAGGACGTGAGATGATGTCCCCCCACCCTCGCCTCTAGGGGCACACCGACGGCATCTCCTGCAGGACACAGCTATTAGGTCTCTTGCAGTCCACAGTACAACAGAGTCAGTGCTCTTCTCCAGCAACACATCTCAAAGGCATCAAGTCTTCTTCTGTCATCCTTAGTCAGGGTCCAACCCTCAGAGGCACAGGCAGACACTGCACGTATCACAGCTCGGAGCAGGCGTACCATTACACCGGCACCCTTGCTCTTCGGCACTTCCGGGAGGTCCTTGTCAGCACATATCCCTCCTACTGTGAGCCTTCTGAGTTCTTCACTGCCACCGCCTCAGGTGTTGGTGTGGGTCCCAAGTAAATGGAAATCGTTGTCAACGTCAATTATTGTCCATCTATCATGATGTTGACTTTCGGCCCAATGGTGTGAATTCTGGGGACTTTTTCTGATCAAGAAAAACAAAATCCAAACGACATCAAGAAAATAACATTTCTTTTAAAAAAATCACAACTGAAAGGAGATTAAACCAAGAAAAACAAAAGCTTCCTATAATCAATACATGTCTGTGAGTGATGGAAAGGCCCATATATGTAAATACTCATTCGAACAAAAAATAAAGATTAATTCAGGTATAAATACACAAAACCTCTGTTAAAGAAAAGCATTCCCCACATGTACAAAAACAATACCTGCAACCCTCACACAATGGAGAATCAATTATGTCCTACCAGAAACAACAGTGCTCTTTTGAAGATAGTTTCAAAAAATCCCTTTTCTTCCTTTCAGCCATTCAGCGTAAAGCAACGGCGTGACAGTGACATAAGAAGATACGGGAGGAGGAACGTGCCCACTTCTCCCACAGAAACTCTGGGAAGGCTGGACAGCCTGCAGCTGCAGCATCATTTCCCAACTGTTTTGCCCAGACTAAGACTACAAATTGAAATTTAAAACATTTTCTATTAGAGAGGATGTGGCGAGATACGAACTCTTGTACAATGCTGATGGGATTGTAAAATGGTATAACCACTCTGGAAGGCAGTTTGGTGTTTCCTCAAAAATTTAACAGAGATTCCAATGACCCAGCTACTTCACTACATAGAATATACCCCAAAAAAATGAGAACTGAGGCACAAACAGACAATTGTACATCAATGTTCATAGCAGAATTATTCACCATTGCAACAACATGGGAACAGTCAAAACGTCCAACTACAATGGAAGGATTGAGACATTATGATACATTCACACAGTGGAATACTATGCAGCACGCAGGAGCAATGATTTTATAAACGACTACCTAACTTGGGAGGGACTGGAGAGAAGTAAGCTGAGTGAATACTCAAGTCCCGTAAGGACACATACTCTGTAGAATGTGTGTGAGGATCTAAGAAGGGGAGTGGGAGAAAAGGGGTCAGGACGGGCTGGGGGTGGCCGAGGGTTAATCATAAGGTCACACAATTTGATGGGGAGGATAAAGGAAATGAGAGCGATCTCGTGTTAAAAGCAATGTATATAAATTTTCTAAGTAAACCACTATAAAATAAAAAATAAAAATCTTAAATTTTTTTAAAAAGGGAGGGTGAAACCCACAAATGCAATAATTTTCCATTTAGCTTTTATTTGTAGTTAGGAAAGGCAGTCTGATCACAAAAGACCACACACACCATGCACCTCTAATGGCGAAGGTTCCTTAAAGGCAGAGATGGCCATGTGAGTTGCGTGAGCCTCACGACGTGAAGTAAGCTCCGACTCCTGGAGGCTTCCCATGGCGGTTTCTGGGCTGAAAACGCTCCCAGGAACACACTGCCCATCTTCTCGCTTGGAGCAGCTGGTGGACTTGACCTTCAAACCTTTGGTCAGTAGCCCACTTACCCTATCTGCTACTGAGCCCTCCACACATGAAAAGAGATGCTACACAGCAAAAAAAAAAAAAACGGGGCTGCTTGGTGCACATGCTGCAAACCAGCCTTGAGATGCCGACACCCTCTCTTCACTAGTAACTCTCAGAAATGTCCTTCAGGCTGTCAGCACAAGAAGTGGGCTACGATTACACCACCAATAACTAGGGGTTTAGATTAAATTATCTGTTAAGGAAACACAGTCTCTGATCATGGACTCTATGAAGCCACAAAGTATTATCCTACAACTGCTTGAATTCTGAATGAGTTCACAGTAAACACGTAAATAATAAGCTCTTCTTCCATTTTCACCACGTAAAGCTGAATGAAGACTCGTGTGAGGATGAACACAGCAGGCATCCTAAGTGGGAACATGCAGTAATCGCAGGTTTGTTTGTGAATGACAACACGGAGACAAACGCGACTTGTTTTGTCATTACCTCAAATATCTGCGCGAACTGGGTCTCCTTGCTGGAGAAGATGGCGTGGATGCAGTGGACGGCGTACTTGGCCTGCCGCGGGGGGCCCTTTTTCGATTTCTGGTGCAGAACAGGTAGCAGGGCTCTGCAGAGAACCAGAGGGAACGGGGGTCAGCCAGCACACTGCCTTCCTCCCCACAATGCCGGACCACCTGTGCCTTCAGACAAAGCCTTTGTGGGAGCCAAGTGCTGTGCGCCTTCGCCTCAGCCTCCCTCCCTGGCCTCCAACTCTGCTTTACAATCACTGACAGTGAAGACGCAGCAGGACACACAAGCGTGCTGGCTGCTTTCTGCTTTTCCTTCGTGGCAGACAGGGCATGAACTGGGCCCACACACACACCACCCCAACCCATCCCGCCCACCCCGCCTGGACTCCACTCCTGGCCTCTTCACTGGGGCCCCCACTGCCCCAGAGCAGGCCTGCCACTGCACAGGACCCCAGAAACGACTGCTCCCACTTCCTCTAGTGTCTAGTCATAAGCATTAAAAGAGAGCTGGGGCCCCTGAAAACACGCTTCCTGCAACCTGGGAAAAGAAAGCAAGAGGTAGAATCTGAAGAAATACCAGCAGACGGCTGCCAGCATCAACAAGGTAATAACCTGTGACAGGGAATCTTAAAGGAAGCTGGAAACCAAGAAAAAAGATACATTCTGTACAGAAGAATAAAGAATGAGAACGCATTGCATCAGAAGACAGTCAAGTAATTTTAGAAACCACGACAAGTGCCAACACAGAATACTATTCTGAGCACAACAGGCATGTACCAGATACAAACTAGAGAAAATATTTTAAACCAATGACTGGTACTCTTAAGAAATAAGAAAAAGAGGAAATCCAACATGAAGTAAGCAAAGAGGAAGAAAGGGCAAAAGCAAATCCCAATCAAACAGACGTAACAGGGAAATTTAATATAAACAATAGAAACAAAACCAAGAGAAGCTTCTGGAAGAGGTCAGTGAAGCTGCTGACCCTTGAGCAAGACAGCTAATGGAAAACTGACGACAGATAATCTCCATCAGGAAGGAAAACCAGTCACTACTGCTCCTGGGACAACGGAGAAAGCACGGCACTAGGAACAGCATCAGGGAACTCTGGTAGCTTAGAGCAGAGGGAACAACCAACCCAAGGGTGGGCAGTTCAAATCCAGCAGGCTGCTCCAGAACAGAAAGACAGGCACTCTCCTCCCATCCAGCTGATGTTATGTGCCGTCGAGTTGTTTGCAACTCAAAGTGACCCTATGTACAACAGCCCTAAACCCTGCTCTATAATGTGCCAACCGCACTGCCTCTGACACACCCATCCCGATTACCCCAGTCACTGAATCAATCCACCTCATAGAGGGCCTTCCCCTCCTGAGCTGTCCCTCCACCCTCCCAAGCATGATGTCCTTCTACAAGGACCGGTCTCTCCTTGCAACATGCCCAAAGTATGTCAGACGAAGCCCCAGAATCCTTGCCTCCAATGAGTAGCCTGGTTTAACCCTCTCCAGGGTGAATCTGTTTGTTTTCTTGGCAGTCCAGGGTACATTCAATACTCTTCTCCAGCACCACAGCTCAAAGACATCAATTCTCCTTCTAGCCTCCCTAGTCATTGTCCAACTCTCTGATGCATAACAAGTGATTGCAAAGACCATGGCCTGTATCAGACGCACCTTAGTCTCCAGAGACACACCGTTGCTCTTGAGTACTTTGGAGAGGTCCCTAACAGCAGACTTTCCCATCGCAATACGTTTTTTTATTTCCTGGCTGCTGGTGCCAAGAGTGTTGACCATGGAGCCAAGCAAACTGAAGCTGAGAACAATCTCAATCTCTTCGTCATCCATCCTGATGCTACCATTTGATCCAGTGGTGAGAATCTTTGTCTTCTTGACATTGAGCCTCAGTCCATACTGAAGGCTGCAGTCCTTGACCCTCTGCAAAAGTGCATGAGGTCCTCCTCAGTTTCAGCAAGCAGGGTTGTGTCATCTGCATAACACAGATTGTTAATAGATCTTCCACCAATCCTGACACCACACATCTCCTTAGAGAGCCCAGGCTCCCGGATAATCTGCTCTGCATACAGGCTGAAAAGGTATGGAGACAGGATGCATCCCTGGCGTACACCCTTCCCAATTTTTAACCATGCGGTGTTACCCTGCTCTGTTCTGACGACTGACTCTTGGTCCAAGTATAGGTTTTGCATTAGCATGATTAAATGTTCTGGGATTCCCATTCTTCTCAGAGTCAGCCACAGTTTGTTATGATTCACACAGTCAAATGCCTTTGCATAATCAATGAAACACAGACGGACATTCCTCTGGTATTCCCTGCTTTCAGCTAAGATCCATCTAACACCAGCTACAATATCCATAGTACCACAACCCCTTCTAAACCCAGCCTGGACTTCCAGCAGTTCTCTGCTTATGGGCTGTTGCAGTCGTTTTTGGATATAATCTTCAGTAGAATCTTGCTTGCATGTGAAATCAATGATACTGTTCCGTAGTTTCCGCACTGTTGGGCCATCCTTCTTTGGAATGGGAACAAATACAGATCTCTCCAGTCAGTTGGCCAAGTGGTTGTTCTCCAGATTTCTTGGCACAACTTGGTGAGCATGTGCAGGGCAGCATCTGTTAGCTGAAATACCTCAATTGGTATACCATCTATTCCTGGGGCCTTATTTTTTGCTATTTCCTTCAAAGCCGCTTGAACTTCTTCCTTCATCACCATAGGCTCTTGCTTATATGTTGTTTCATTAAATTCTTCTGTGTCTGCCAATTCCTTTCTATACAGTGACTCAGTATATTCTTTCCATCTTCTTTTAATACTTCCTGGATCATTTAATATTCTGCCTAAAGCATCCTTGATTACAGCAACT